AAGTTAATTTGAACTGGAAAAGAAACCACCCCACCCTTCCTTTATCCACGAGAAGAACCCTAATCCCACAACTGTAAACCGCAAAAGCTCAACTCCCAGCCTGCTACCAGCAAACAGGCAAACAAGCTGACAGAGAACAACGCAGATTTCTAGCTGGATTCTGTCAAATAGTTAGAGACTAGGCAGCTCAGAATGTTTTTGTTATGCCAAACCAGCCAGTCACACTGAACTTCATATTCTGACCAGCTTGTGCATATCTAAGAACTTTCCCCTTTTAACTGCCACACGTCCCAAGGAGACAGACAAGCAAAAGTACAAAAGTTGTCTGAGGGGCTGGGAGGTGCTCTTCCTCTTGCCTCACATTTCCAAAACACCACCTGTCCAGCGCTCTGAATTGATTGCAGAAACCTGCACAGAATACAAAGAAAAACATCTGCCCACATCCCCGAGCTGGTTAGAAGCACTGACTTCAGTAGTAAAGCTTTCCTGATCATTTTACAGCAAGAACACTTCACTCCTGCTCCAGATGCAGAGGTACCCACCTGCTGCATATATACCACTTGAGGTTTACAGCACAACCATAACAATGATGGTATCAAGGACCTAAAAACCTGCTCCACCAGAGCAGATTTGAAGCCCATTTTCTTGGGGGCAATGGTGCAAAAAAGCCTGAAGCAGGCCTTTGGAGAATACCAAAGCTCTCCCTAAAGCCCTATTGTTTAGCACTTAGCCAACATCCTAAAAGCATGAGAGTTTACTTTTTTCAACAGTACCACACAAATACAAACCTTTAGTACTAGAAACCTGAATGACGTGAACATTTCTAGAGAAATCTGTGTTCCCTTTAAAGGAGGCTGCTAAGCTCTTAGAGTCAAGGGTAACATCCAGCAACACAAGTTCAAAGGCACAGTTAACTGCTGTGTTAAAAGAGGCGAGTCTTTGTTAGTGGGATGTATGCTTTATTACGTTTTCATCGATTGTTTTCTTTTTCTCGCAGGATAAGAAAGACATTTCTATTCATCCTATTAGCCTTCGCTCCATTATTGATCAATACTTTCTATTTTTATCTTTGACAGAGGTAAACAGTCTTCTTTCTGGGGAGACCTGTCTTTATGCCGTCAATAATTATTCCTGTTCAAGCTCCCTACATGGCAAGAACAGTTTCAAACTTTCTGTAAGCAGGAACCATCTTCAGTATTTCCTCTAGATTTCCCACTCCTCCTGTCCTCCCACTTTTGACAGCTTCACAGTGCTCCAGGCAGCTTTCATAAAGCTGTGCCTGAAACCACTCTAGTCCCTTTCCACAATTCATCAGAACCCAGTCACGCACACGTTCCTCCAAAGCCCTCCTTCCACTACACACTGCAGCTGTCAAGGCTGAGTTAGCCCTCATGGAGCAACTGAAATTTCAAAACACCACGAGCATCCAAACAAGACCAATTGTAACTCACCTGAGACGCAAGAGAACACAGGCACAGCAACAGTCTGCTCACACACACCTACCACACCAGCACATGCATACGGTGTCTGTCAGTCGGTTCAGCCTGAACCACAGGAGGCACAGCAAACACAAACCTGTTGCCCACCACTGTGCTCCCAGCCCACCCAGCGCCAGGACAGTGACATCCTCCCAATGCCACCCAGGAGCGTGGCAGCACCGGGGAGCGCGGGAGCTGTGCCAGTACGTGTGTGTGCAGGGGGAGTGGGAGGGTGGGCTGAAGCAAGGACATGTGGCGGGCGGGGGAAGGAACTGAGTGGGCTGCACCGGGGGAGGTGGACTATCCCCTCGGGGGTGTACTATCCGGAGAAGGCTGTGCGGGCTGCACTGGAAGCTTGTGGGGAGACGCGCGTGTCTGACGGCACGGAGACCGTGCGGGAGGAATGTGCGCGGAGGGGGAACGGCGGGGGCGACCCTGGGACGAAGGGGGGCACGCCGGGGGAACCGGGTGGAGGGCTGGGGGGAGCGCACGGCGGGGATCGCGGGGGCGACGCCGGGGAGCGGGAGGAGGGTCGGGGCGGGAGGGAGATCGCGTCCACACCGCGGACGATGCGAGCGAGTTTCGTGGGGGCCGTACCGAGCCACCCCCACCACCAGCGCGGCTCCTCCTGCCCGCCCGCAGCCGCCCCCGCGCCCCGGCTCGGCTAGGCGGCCACCCTGCCCCCGCCACGTCTTACCCTGCAGCGGCGGCGGGCGGGCGCGGCCCAGCCCGGTGGGGCGAGGAGGGGTCGGGTCGAGCCCTGCCCCGCTGCCCCCCGCGGGCGGCGCCGGCACCGGCGCGGGGGCGCGGAGGCCTCAGGAGCCCATGGCGACGCCGGGCCCGGCCCGGCCCTCCTCCGCGCCTGCGCACGGCCCCGCGCGCCCCGCCCACCGCCCGCGCTCAGGGGGCAGGGTGACGTCACCGCCTCGCTCCTAAAGGGGGCGGGGCCGGCCGGGAGGGTGACTCGGGGTTTGCCGCAGCGCCGGGAGGAGGGACGAGCTTCCCGGAGATGGGCGCTCCAGCAGCGCTCTCCCCCCACCGGGCCGGCTAAGGACAGCACTGCCCAGAGAAAGATTCCCCCCGAGGCATATTTCCACCTCTATCTCAGCGCTGTTTTCGCCCGCACTCCGAGGGAAAAAAAAAAATCAAACACAGAGCTGTTGGGAACGTCCCCCAAACTCCCCAAGGAAAAAAACGTACATATAGATACGGGTGTTGGAAACCAAAGTGGTGCCTCTATTCGAGCCAAAACAAGGCATTTTCAACCTAAAAAAAAAAAATAAAAAAATTAAAAGCCCCAAACCAAGCCCTAAAACCTTTAATAAGCCCAAAAAGTGCCTGCACAGAGGGCTGCATGAGCAAGAGGAGGTGACATCCCGCCTGAGATATGCCTGATGAACTTTCTCCTTTTCTCCTACTGCTTTAGGACACTTGTCCTCTCGAAACACAGGTGCACCCGTAGAGCTGCTACCCCACACCTCCCAAAATGGCAGCATGTTTCCCCTCTGTCACAAGACAGTATTCCTACCCGAAACCCGGCAATCACTCCTGAATCCAGCCAGATCATGGCTCTGCTGCCTGCACCACGCTGCAGTGATGGGGGTGTTGTCTTCCACACAGGCAATGTTCCTCTTTCTCACTGAAAACAGGATTTACAAAGGAAAAAAGTCCAGTTTCATTCTGATCCATCAAAACCACAGTCAAAATGGAGGCAGGACAAATGCAGTTTAGAGGCAGCAGTACAATACCCCTGAACTACCCTCTTCTTCCCTACCCTCCTACTCTTCTCTTATCCCAGAAGCTGGAAGCCTCACACAGCAGGGAAATGAAGGAGCAGCTCTTCCTGCTCAGCTGGCAGAGAACAGGCTTGGAAGGAATTTCCGAAGTCACCAAGATCTGTCCATATATTCTCAGCAGGTGTTTCTGAAAATCAGTTTCAAGAGTTTTAGAAAGCCTGGCAGTAACAGGCCTCTCATCTGGATAATGCAGGGACGCATAACTACAGGAGCAGAGATTTAGAAGTAAATCAGTATTAAAATTTAGTAATTTACTGTCAGACAGGTCAGACAACCAAGGAGGGAAACCCAAACAAACCACACTGCCAGAGACACCAAAGCAGCAGGTGCCACTTCGCAGGGAGTTCAGCCTGTTTTCATCAGGCACAGTGGTGGTGTTAGGTGCTCAGGGCTGATACCTGGGCCCCTCCTCTTCCCATTCCTTCAGGATTTAAGTAAGAAGACAGAAGAAAGCAAGAAAACACATAATCCAGGGTCCACCTCTGTTGAAGTCAGTGCACACCCAAAGCCAACAGTGCAGACAGTCCCATCCCTCTCCTGCTGAAGGCCAGATGCACGGGACGCCAGAGGCTCAAATCCAGGAACCAAGAGATCCTGAATCAGATTTCACATAACTCTTGCCTGTTCCAAGGCTGTAACTGCAGAGATCAGCTCAGGTTTATTTTTAGGCGCTCCAGTCCTGTGCCTTTTTTCCAGTAATTCTGATCAAACTTGTTCCTGGAACTCAGAAACAGGTTCAGCTGCAAGACAGTGCTTCCTGCATGTAAGATGTGACTCCCAGCAAAGATACCAGGGCCAGTGACGGAAGAAATGACAGATGCTGGCGTCACTTTATCATTTTCTACTTTATTACTTCAAATTAACAACCACGATAAAGCTCAAAAAAGTCCAATATTTACACAGGAAAAAAGTACAAAATCCCCCCCAAAGTTCTTCAGGTTTTTTTTTTTTTTAAATTACAAAGTAATAAAAAGTTTTGCTCTTTAATTAAAAAAAAGAGAGAGACAGTAAGAGGGGTAAATAAATTAGGAAAAAAACAGGGAGGAAAAATGAAGTGTTAAATAGAAAGGGTAAAAACAAACAAAACAAAGACTAACCCCACCCTCCCCGCCCTGCCAACAACCCATCGGCTCCACACTACAGTGACAGTGTGTCTGCTACAGGCCATAGGTCGCAGTGGTGATCATTGTGTTTCAAAGCCCCAAGTGCCACAAAGCAGCTTGAGTATTCCTAAATTATATTTAAAAACAACTAAAGTGGGGGGGAAAGGGGGGGAGACGGATGGGAGAGGGCAGGAAGGGATTGTGCATGTATTGGTGGATCTTACTTGGGGTTGCATGAGGGAAGGAGAGAGCAAGAGCCATCGCTCTGATAGAACTCCAAACTCCCGTTTCTGTGCGCCCCTCTCTTCTCCTCAAGTCCCACACTCTCTCCGCAGGAATTAAAACAAGTTTTAATTAAAAAATAAAAATAGAAAAACACGCACAGCCAGACGAAAAAAAGACCCCGCTGCAGGGATGAGAAGTATATTTCTCCCTGTATTCCGCTCCAACGATCCCATCCTCCATGGCACCAGGTGCCTCTCCATAGAGATCCCTCCGTGTGTGAGGACTGCTCGGTTCAGGGAAGGCTGGCACTTCTCCCAACATCCAAGAAAGAAACCGCAGAGAAGCCACCCAAGGAAAGGAAGCCCGAGTCAATGATTAGGCTGTTGCCACAATTCCCCTCACAGCTTAAAATTCGTTTAATGCTCAAGAAAATAAATTCTGTTATAATAATAAAAATCAGACTTCTACCATCAAGTGTGGCTGGAATCTGATTCGCTCCTGGCCCACAAGGCTCCTGAAAAGAACAAAACCAAAAAAAAAACAAAAAAACAAAACCAAACAAAAACCTCACCCCCCACCCTGCACCATCCCTTGCCCTCAGATAAAAAGGAGAGCAAAGTTAAAATTTATATGGCTAGAAACCATATGATTTCAAAATAATATTTAACAAAAAAAAAAGCAGGGGAAGATACCCAAGGAAAAAAAAAAAATAGAGAAATCAAAAAATCAAAACCAGGAGCAGAGAGTCAGGAGAAGGAACTGGGGGTAGCCCGTGGGGGCGGCGGTCAGGGCTGGGGGGGCAGCGGAGGTGTTCCCGCACGGCTCCCGCGTTGTCAGCTCCTCGGAGGCGTCGCGCCGGGGGACGCAGGTGGCCCTCTCGGAAACGGCTCACACCAGCGCGGGGGCACAGCTCGACTCCTCATCGTTGGCAAAAAGAAATTCTGTTGGGTTTTTTTGTTTGGTGTTTTCTTTTTTTTTGTCTTTTTTTTTTTTTTTTAGTTTTTATTTGTTTTTTGGGTTTTTTGTTTTTTAAAAGAAAAATACAGTGAAGACACTAGAAAGAGAATTCAAAAGAGAGAAGAGACATTAGGTGAAAAGATTCTTCCCAGCACTTCCAATGCCAGCTGGAGCATAACAAATCGTATCAGCCCTTTCTTCTACACTCCTGCCTCCCCTCGGAGTTACCTTGCCCAGCTACTGTCATTTCCTCTACAAGAGGCACTCACTGGCTGTGCAAAGTCTCACACACTTGATTACATGCTCAGCACCCTCCTCCCCAACACTGTCACACTGCCAGAAAAGCATTCATGAGGAACTAACAAAATGGCTCCCCAGCCCAGCACCTTATCCACCCTCCCTATCCTCCTGGAGAAATGGAAGCTACCTTCACACTTAAAGACAATCCATCCCCTCAAGGTTTTGGCAGCCAACCTTACTCTTCCCTCTGAAGCCAAAAACATCTCAAAGTAAGATGAAAGGAAAGGAAATGTACCAATCCCCCACAACATCAGCAAAGTCTTAACCTAAGGCTTTTTTTTCCCAGTAATTTCACCCTTGGGGGTTCCCAGGCATAGGACAGGCTCACCTAAGCAAACACTGGTCCAGTGGCAATTGCTCCTCACTTCCCAAGGTGATCAAATGGCACACTTGTCTACAAAAGAAAAAGAGTTGCTAAGGGTTGGAGAGGAAAAAGAAGACACCAAAACAGAGAGGTTGCACGTTTCTTTCAGGACATCCTTCCTCCCAAGAGTTTACTACTCCATTCCTCCAAACCACTGTGGTCTGGAAGAGAACCAGACAAAGTCTTACTCCAAGCAAAGCAGAGCTAAGATGACAGTACTGAGCATGGCCTCCAGAAAATATGTAACTGAAGAGTGAAGGTGTAACTTGGTACCACTCCCCTCACCACACTAGAAGCTTCAGGCTCATGTCAGCTCCAACAGATCAGCCAAAAACTACTCTAGGGCCCATAGTACTTCTGGAATATCCAGTCCAAGGCCATGAACATGGCAGCAGGGACTCACCTGTGATGCTGAAATCCGTGACACTTCTTGCCGCCCTGTGAGGTCAGATGAGGAGACGTTGGCAGGAGCTCCTCGGTGTAACCTCATGCTGACCTTCCGCTCCCTGTCCACTCTTGAGATTGCTCTGGGGGACGTGTTGCCTGCCAGGGCAGAGAACCATTGAGGCAAGAATATCAGTCAATGATTTTGGTTTCTAGCTGACAGCAGGGGTGGAACCCTCCCCAAGCTCTCCCATCCCACTCACCGGACTGCTGGATTCGGGAGGTGGGGGTGGAGGCCATGGGCTCAGTGACATTGCGAAGACGGTTGGCAGTGGCTCCAGCAGGCGGGCCAGGGGGCAGTGCTCGTGTGGCTGACCCTCGGAGTTGCCCCATCCTCTCCTCTCGTTCATGCTCTCGCCGCTCCCGATCCATATCCTCAGGGTTCCGGGCTGCTCCCTGAGGAGAGAAACCCCCACACCACACATGGCTGTCAGGCAGGAGAGATAGCAGCAGCCCCGGACAGAAAACACATGGTACTCCATCGTGCCAAGGAAGTGGAGCTCCATCCCCAAAACATGGTCTCCCCCCACTGTCTTCCACTGCACCAAGAGAGGACCTCATTCTGTTCCATGAAGAAACAGGGAAGAAAGCATATGGTACTACAGCTGTTACTGGAATCCACTGTCCCACCTCCAGTTATAGTCCTCTCCTGAAAAATTATCTCTACCTACCTATAGCTACAGATCAGACATACTCACTAATACAACAGTAGCTATACCCCCAGTTTGCACCAAGTAACTGCCTCTCTTCACTCTACCCTTTGTCAAGTTGTTCACCAGGGCTAAGTACAAACAGCAGGCAGTTTCCAACTTTCCTTCCCCTCCCCATGATAAAAAACAACTCCTCTCCAGCCCTTTTGCCACACACACTCACAAATTTAAGCATGTTCCAGTCAAAGACGTAGTCGTAGGAGAAGCCTTGGCGGTGGAAGAGGTTGCGGAAGAGTTGCCGCAGGTACGAGTAGTCAGGTTTGTCATCAAACCTCAGCGAACGGCAGAAGTTGAGGTATGTTGAGAACTCAGCTGGAGAGAGCAGAGAACAGCTGGCTGTTGAACACCATCCAACCTCCCATGCCCTGCCATGGAGCCACTGCAGCATTTCAGCAGTGGCTTGCTGGACTAGGACAGCACACACACAGAGTTGTATAACAAAAACTGAGCCTGCTGGTTTGGTTGCAGCACTTCGGCCACTAAGAAAACCCCATTCCTATTTTTACCACAGAAAATGCTCACACATCCTTATCGGTTTCTCCAAGCAAGACTTATCAAGTCCTGCAGAGCCTGCTGAAGGACAGTAAGAATGCAGGCCTAAAGAAGAGGTGGAGGTGAGCTTTGGGAATTTCAGCTCAAATCAGAAGTCCTCCTAGTTCAGTAGTCTATCTTAAGCAGTAGCCAGAAGTAGACAGCTACAGAGGAGAAAGCATGAGGCAAACATGTCTGACACTTCTATTAACATTAGCCCAGCTCCCACCTACTTTCAGCTCCAGGAACTTCCTGATCTGGATGTGGTTTCTGACTATTTAGTAACTCTCCACGAGTCTCTCTTCCATGTACTTGTCCCATCTCTCCTTGAACTCCAGTAAGCTTTAAGTACCCACACCAACTTCTGGGAATGAGTTCCAATACTACTATTACAGTCTACTACTGGCTGTGTGAAGAACTGCATCATTTTGTTTTGAAGCTAGCAGAAACCAGCTTTGTTTCTCTTCCAATACAAAAACTGGGGCCACCAAATAATTGTCTCCCACTCAGACTTCTGCAGGCATAGCGAGTGCACAGATTTCTAACATCTCTCTAATCACCTCTTTTCCAGGTTCCAGCAACTTGTTACTTGTGTAGAAATCACCTCACCTCGGTTACCCTTTTGGCCCTTTCCTGGACCGGTTTCCAGTTCTACCACATCCGGGATGGACCAGAGCTACACAGTGCACGCAGAGTGCAAACAGGCCATGGGCTTATGCACACTGTTTGCACAAAATTGCTGTGCACAAAATTTCTGTTTTCACAGAATCACCTATTGTAATTGCAACAGCTCATTGATGAGCGGTACTGGTCAGTTGGAGTCTACTATTGTGCAAATGACGTGAGGACCAAGACTTCTCTCTGTTCTCACACATATTACCCATGTTTACCTACAAAGAACTCCAATTGCCACTTCATTGCCTGGCTATTTCTGGGACTCTTCATTAACCAGTAAAAACTCAGGATCACCAGCGTACCTTCTCAGCTCATTGTCCATCCCGCTTCCAAACTGCTACTGAGGTCCTAAAGATCCCTCTATCCCTCTCAGGACTCTCACGCCCTTACTAACATAAGGTTTCACTCTCCACAAAAACACATTTCCCACTTCTGAACCAGAACTGTACCACCTGTTATCCTTCTCATCACTGGTGTCAGCAGCACATCCTGGTCTGGGGTACTGGGCACTGCTCTTTAGGATTCAAGATTCCATGGGGTTTCAGCAGGTGAACAAGCCAAGCAGCAGACAAGACAGCCATCAAGACGAGAGCACTTACAAGGGTACCCTTTGCAGAGCACCTCGATGGGCGTTGACATCTTTTTCTCGCTGATCCTCTCGTACTTTTGGCGCTTGGTGGCAGCCTTGAGGCCCTGCCAGGGCAGCGAGCCCAGGTTGAAATACATGAGCACATAACCCAGGCTCTCCAGGTCATCACGGCGACTTTGTTCTGTGAGAAGTTACAAAGGGGCAAGGAGTGAGCAGCAATCAAAAGTACTCTGGCAATCACATAGCTTTGGTGCTAAACACAGAACAGAACAATCACTCCTCTCTCTTCTTTGGTACATTTCTATGGATAGACAAACTTGTAGAAGACATTCCAGTGCAAATTCCTGTGAGGACGGTCATATTACAAGAGTTAAAGTGCTCCTCTCCCCATATGGCCCCACCCACTTCATAACTAATGACTCTGACTACCTCCTCACTTGGACAAGCCTTAATTCACACAAGAATTTAACAGCTCAAGAAGTGCTGCAGCAACACTGCCTACTCTGCTCTTCCCAGTCCCAGAGGAAGGGCACCTACACTTCTCCACCCAGAATGATTCTTCAACCCAGGGATTAGTCATGACAGAGGTAGTCACAGAAAGACAAGTCTAACAGAGGTAAGCCCAACACAACCCTTTCAAACACATCTTCTAATTAAACTGCTGATACTCTTTAGGCAGGGCAGAAACAAGGAACTAGGGACCCCTTCTAGTAGTAAACAACTTGGTTAATTGTTTAGAGGAGTCTAACATGTAATACTGTGCAAAGATGTCTTTCCAGCTTGGTGGCATTTTTCAAGCTGTGGAGGAAAGGGGCATACTTTGAACAAAAGGTTCCCCTCCAAATAGGAAATGACTGTGTAAATGGCAGCACTACCAATTCTACTAAGAGCAAGGGTTGCCCTTAATATGCTATTGCAAGGGCTTGCTTTTAGATGCTTACTTATGGAACAAAAAAGATTGCCTCACAAAAAAAAACCCCTTTCACATTGAACTTGTTCTCTGGAATGGCCAAGCCATTTTAAGTTTCAAGCTAGCTCAAGATGGATTTGATGCAGAATCTCAACAACTGCAAATGTTGACTGGTTAACTTGTGAAACTCCTCCCAGCTCCTCCAACATGCTTGCAAATTCATCTATAAATCTTGCCAAGAAGCTCTTGCCCTTGTTTTCCTCCCAAATAAAATAAACATTTTGGAAAAAGTACTTTACATCTCGAGTAGAACAACCACTGACACAGATAACAGGCAGGCAAAATATGGCTTGAGGGAGAGCACAGGGATAGAGGGAAGACTAAAGAGAATCACCTATTAGATTAATTCACTACTACAGCACATTTTGCTGGATTCAGCGCTACATCCTGGAAAATGCTGCAGATTATGTGTTGGTCTGTGGGTTAACTGTCAGTATCAGTTACATGCTACCACCTGCCCCATTCAAAGGCCAGTAGATCATTACAGCTACCCCTTATTCTGCTAGCTGAGCTAAACCCTGACAAAAGAGTAGCTTGTAGCAGGTCACAGATACAGATGTCCAGCTCCTGAGGGTCAACACGGCTCTTTCTTCTTTCTGCATCTCTCTCATAATCTCCTAGTGGTTTTGAGAACTGGAGGCTTGCTTGGCAAGTTAAAACTACTGAGAGGGGAAAAAAAAAATGGAAGCAAAGGGGTTGCAGAAGAAAAGGGTCTTATTCCTTCATAACTGAGAGGAGAGAGCCTTTGGGTCAAAGCACATGAAACACCATAAAAACCCCCAAATTCCAAGACAGGAGTAGAGGAGAAAGCAGCCCTGCAGATCCCCAAAGTGTTTTACTTTGAGCATGCAGAAATAACAGCATTTTTTGACCTCACTAACGTACTGCCTCAAGTTGCCCACTTTAAAGGGGCTAATACGTCCTTATCTTATCAGGCTACTGCCAAGGATAATTACATGATTGTCTGGGAGATGCTTAGATGCTATGGAGGGAGCAGAGAAAAGAAACTGAGTTTGCATTTGGCCTCAGGTTGGGATATGTGTACTCTCAGAGGGCTGCAATTACTCATCATGCATATCAAATAAACAAAACCGAACAATATTTGGTAATGACCTACATCCTTAGACAGTAGGCATGTGGAGTCAGAAGGCACACCCAGGGCCTGAAAGTACAGGAGACAAGGGTAATCTCAGTCCTGCAATCTGGCAGCCCTTGATTTATCCATGCTGTAGCTTTAAAGTGTCTAACTGCGGGTTCTTGTCTAGAGCATGGTAGTGCTCTAGACAAGAGAAGTAAGGAAAGGCAGGGCAGGAACCAGAGAAACCTACTGAACAAGCAAATCAGCCTTTCAGGAATAAATCAGGATCTTGCCTCCAAAATCTTGCTTGAACTCCAAACTGCTTAGGGCAGGCTGAATAACACACCTCTACTTGTGTGAAGCACAGCAGTTTTGAGCACAGTCACCAACCCTATCCAGCACAGGATATGTTCTGTGAACATATGCCTGGGCACAGTCCTAGCGATTTGGGGAAGGCCTGAATTAAAGACTTGAGATTAGGGAGCCTGAAGTCATTGGGAGATGCTACAAGGCCTTAGTGAAGGTGATGAGAGGGGTTACAAAACCAAACTGGGAAGCTAACTAGTATCCATTACATGCATGCAAACACACCTTAACTGTGCCTTAACACAGCAACGTGATCAAGGAAAAACAACTGCAAGCAAAACACCTAATTATTAAAATTCCGAATGAATAAGTGTTTGACTGCGTTGCAGCCCCAATGTTTAGTACCTCACGTACTGTGGCAATTGTAGCCCACTTAAACAATTTCACTGAGATTCAAATCTATGATAGGCCTGAAGTATCAACACCATGGGTCACAGATGTGCAGCTACCTCAAAACATTGTAGCAGTCTTTCATCTGTAACCCTAACTACAAGATCCTGATTTAAATCTTGGATGATTGTGAAGGACAATAGTTCCTACATCCCGTTTCTTTGTTTCATCTTCAGTTACTATTACACAGCTCCCAAGTTTAATTATTCTTTTCCCTGGCCTCATATACCAACATTCCCAGGATACTAGATAATATTAGATAGTAAAGAGTTAGAAATAAAACTTTACCTCAACACACCAAAGAAATACTATTTAGCATCACTACTTTCCACCTTTAGAAGTCTGACAATCAGTGACTAACACTCACACCATCCCTGGGATGCAGGAAGAAAAAAATCTCACTTTGCAGTTTGAAAAGAGAAAGAGAAATACAAGTAACGTGAACGCATGCTCAGAGCAAGTTAGTCCAGAAGCTGGATTACAGTCATGACCTGTGATACTTCCTCTCTCCATTTTATTTCAGCTTCTCAGTTTTCCTACAACGAGGTGGGGGGGGAAGGTTTGAAAGACAATTTTATGAAAATATATTTTTCATAAGACACTCATCCTTTCCTCCCTCCCTCCCAAAACCTCTTCCAATAGAAACACAAGGTCATCTTCCCACACAAGCCAGCACAACCCCTCAAACCCAACCTCTCACTCTGCAAGCAATCTCCTGCCAGTTCCCTCCTCCCACTCCCAGTGAGGATCCGAGCCAGCCCACACCCTCCACTCCCTTCACAAAGCAGGGTCCTCAAAAGCCAAGTCAGGGGTGAGTAGCAGGACAGGAAAAGACATGCTTGAGCAAAGACGGAAGACTGAGGACTGGTTGTCTTGGACACAAAGTTCCTGACAAAGCATGTTTCTTCGCAACCTAAACTGCCTTCTGGTCCCTCTGTCCAGAGAGTGTTTCCCTCCACTCTGATTCTGTTCAAAGTGATGCTGCTCCCATGCAGGACTCCCTAGAAATTAGCTGTCTTCCCTGGAGCCAGCCCAGCTCTGCAAGCAGGCTTAATCAAGCAATGTTTTTCTCACTACATACTCAGATCTGATCTTGCATAAGTTGCACTACAGTTCCCCTTTCTCTCCCCACTGCATGGCAACAGCCTTTAAAAACACACACAGAGATCTGGAATGGGTGACAGAGGGCAGGATGAGCAGGAGGACTTTATGATCTGCACAGCCTACACTGATGCCATCTAGGACACGCACTTGGGAAGGCACTGTCCCCCACCTCCCACCTCCTGTTACCCAGACAGAGTCCACCAGGCTTCTTCCAAGACTGTCTCCTGGGCACCCTGGGCATCTATTTCAGACTTTACAAGCTACAGTGGGTGCAGGGGACTCTCATCCCTAGAGCATGTGAAAATTGACTGGAATGTGTGAAGCAAAGCCTGCACAGACCAGTGACTCCCCCAACGGCAAGTCTCCAGCTGTGGAAACCCTCCCCAATCTCGCCTCCTACTTTTTTCCCCAGTCACTGGGAAAAGAATGTGTTTCCTCCAGACATTGGAATGTCCAACCCTTAGCTTGCACATTCAAATAAAGGCATTTATTCATTTGCTATTCCTGTCACACGAATACCCCAGCACCTGGTTCCTTCCCTCTCCCTAGAGCGCATTAATGTAACATTAAGACAGAGAGTTTAGTCTCTGAAAAGTCAAAAACTTCAGAGTCATGGTTCCCATGGCAATGCTGCTAACTCACAAATGTGCCTGTCATATACCCTGTGGCGAGGTCTTGAGAAACAGGAACTCCAGCTGAAACCTCAGCACCTTCATCCCCTTTCCTCCAGGCAAGTCATGTAACCTTTATGCTGTTCAGGGGAACTATCTGCAACGTGGAGATAATACATCTGAGACCTGTTGTGCCAAGTAACTCACACCCAGACTTTCCCGAAGCAAAGGGCATGAAGAGAGCGGTGGCTGTGCTCAGACTCATGGCATATGCAATTTGCCCTAGGATTACTGTTTAGACATTGTTTGTTCGTCCTGACACACAAGCCAAGCACCAGCAGTAAAGGGCTAAGTTGGGGTGGGATGAATAATGAAGTCATTTGAAAACCACAGCCAGACATTTAGCCTCTCGTGATCAGTTCAGGCAGAGCAGGCACACACATAAGAATCGACAGACAGAGTAGTGATAATTATTTTGTGCATGTCTCCTCGTGGCAGTTTCCATGGCTGTGGAAATCTTGACTGAGAATTCAACGGAGAGTCAGTTATATATATGCAGGTCAAGCCAAAATACAGAAGGCCAACTTGGAAAGCTCTACAAGAAGTATTTTTACAGCATGGAGGAGGTCAGGAGATCACAGCCCACTCTCAACACACAACACTCCCCATTTTTATATAAATAAAGCATTTTCCATCTACAGCTATATAGTATTAAACAAAGAAGACAGTGGGAAACCACTTTATTTTCTGCAGGTCAAATATTGACTCCAGATATCTGAGAAATATCTGCAAGAGGGGAGAGTGCAGGAAAAATGAGGTCATGGAATCCTGTGGAAGCTGCTAGTTTAAAAGGTTTGAGTTCCTTACTCTGACTTTCAAATTCTCAGGTTATACATTTCAGAAGAAGGTCTCCCAGAGACACAAACTGAGCTGCAAACACAGTAGCTATTTTCCTGGGTTCACAGGCAAGACAGCTTTAGTGTTTCTGCTCCTCAGATTTGCCAGTTAATAGCAGGACCAAGTCAGCCTGCTCAGAACAGACTGTATGGTAACTAAGGAAGCCTCATACTGAGAACAAAGTTTAGCAAAAATTTAGCAGAGGAAGGAGGTCAAACACTGGAAAGAAGCTTTTGGTCAGAGAACAGAAGAGAAAACTGCAAGAGGTTCTCAACTGTGTTCCTCACACCCACCAGGGGCTGATTCCCAGGACAAGAATCTGGGTGACTTCAGGAGGTTTGAGCACGGTGGGCACTAACCTGGTCAAGGTTTTTACAAAAGCTGGGATGATGGTCAGCACCAGTGTAAGACCTGGCTGAGCTCTCAGCATGCTTTCCCAGCCTAGTTTCATTACCACGGTACTAACCATAGACACTGAGGGCAGAGCCCTACCTCCCTAAAGCTGCCTCAGTGGTGAACAGGGTAGTGTGGTTCACAGACACACAGGTATTTTGAAGAACCATGATAGTCAGTTCCCAATCACAAAACCTGGATGTCCAGCCAGCTGGAAGCCTTCCCTCATTCCAGCTTCCTGCACACTTTCAGCAAATGGCTGGCCCCACCTTCAGTGGTGGACCATATTGCAGCAGGCCTGTATCCTCCAGCTCTGACAGCTACAGAATAATCACTGATGAAGGTGCTTGGGAGTCAACAAGAAAGGTTTCAATTGCACACATTCCTAAAGGCGCAGTGCCTGTGAATGTCTCCTTTACACATCTAATCAGCCTGCAAAAATTGTGCAAGGCAGATTCAGTAGCCGCAGAGTCACAGAGGTCATAGCCTTGATGCTCAACAGGGCCCCACTGCACTAAGTGATGAGTGCACAAACACATACTGATAAGACAATTTCTGTCTTCAGAAGCTCGAAGTGCCACCAAAGGCAGGAGAGGTAACGCAGGTGTAGCATTTAAGTTACTTGCCCACCATCTCAAGGCAGGTCAGTAATGGAATCAGGCACAGAACCCAACTCCCTCCTTCTGGGGACACACTACCTCCCTTAGAAAGCCCCACCAAGGGGAAACAGCAGGCTCACCAATTCCCAAGTGAGTGTTGATAGAGGCATAACGGGCTGTGCCAGTCAGATTCTTGTTTTCCCGGTAAGGGATGTGCTGGTGGGTCCGGGCATCTCGGTACTTCTTGGCCAAACCAAAATCAATGATGTATACTAGGTTGCCTTTTTTGCCGAGGCCCATAAGGAAGTTGTCTGGCTTTACATCCCGATGGATGAAGTTCTTGGAATGAATGTACTCAATACGGCTGATCTGGAGTGGGGGATAAATAAATAAATAGTGAGACAAGAAAGAAAAAACCTACCTTAACTGCATCTGCTAAAAATAGTACCCTGTCCAGGACACTGACCTGTCAGAGTAGGGAAAAGGACATTTCACAGAGAATATCAGAGATGACAGCCAAGGAAAAGACACCCTTTGGAGGTTGCAGGATCTGTAGATGGAATTCAACCCTGCACACCAGCCCAGTCCTCACTCTGGGGAGGTCATCATTAACGCCACAAGGAAGGGTGGGAAGCAAATCTGCATGGACTAAAACTTTGAGCTTCAGCATTGACAGCTGTCAGCTTTCAAACTTAGACAGGCTGGGAAGGTAGGGGGTCCATCCACAAGAGCTAAGGGTCTTAAACACAGGGCCTGGGCAGTTGAATTGAGATAGGTAGTGATGCCAATCATTCATCATGCAGGCAAAAGTATCTATGTGTGCAACACTAACACAGGGTGAGCAGCAGGGGAAGGAAAGAGAGATGGAGATTGGGAAAAGTCATCAGTCTCTAGGTTCCAGGCCCCCAACTTCCTCAAGAAATAGAAAGCTGGCAGCCACTTGTCACTAAATGAAGAAAGCTTGGGATATAGCAGTTCTTAAGCAGAGGAGATGGGAGGGAAAAAAAAAAAGGCATGGAAAAGGAGAGTAGGCACAAATGCTTCAGAGGAAACTCACCATCTGGTCTGCCAGGAGCAGAACTGTCTTGAGACTAAATTTGCGGGAACAGAAGTTGAAGAGATCTTCCAGGCTGGGCCCCAAGAGCTCCATCACCATCACGTTATAGTCCCCCTCTGCTCCACACCACTTAATGGAGGGGATACCCACTGGGGAAAGAGAAAGATTAAGCCCTTGGAACAGAGACTAGATGCTGCATCCCCTGCTGAGAAGATCATATGTAACACCAAATCATTTCTTTCCTAAGGCCCTCCAGAATAATTTCCTTCTTCAACCACTCCCCCGGCCCCATCTTCTCCTCCCCATCTCACCTCCTCCCTGCATCATCTTGTAGAACTTGCTTTCAATGTGGAGCTGGGGATGCTTGGTTTTGACACATTCCAGTTTGATGGCCACCTCTTCACCAGTTGCAATATTGGCTCCTGCATAGAAATGAGAAGTGAAATGAAGATTGCGCAAGCTTCCACTGAAGTTAAACACTTTTAACAAGGCCTGTAAAAATGCCAAAACCTTATGATTTGCCCTGAAATTTATTCTCTGTGACAGAAACGAGATTCAGCCACTTCACAGAGAGTTTCCAGCGCTGCCATTTGCAAACACAAGGCCAGAGAAAGGCACGTGAATAGGAAACCAAGTCTGACCCTACAACCCAGGCTAGAACAACAATCTTGCAACATGTTAACTGCTTTGTTATCTCAAAAAGTACCAGACTTTGGGAGGTCAATCTGTACGTATCAACAGTGCCTAAGCTAAGGGGAAGTTGTAGCTGCCTCTGATCATATACCGAGACCCTGAATGCAAGTCACCCCCAGGCAGTGATACAGAGTATCTCTTCCCTAGCAAAATTACTAGTTACCTCAGTTACATCATTTCAACAGAGCCAATTAGTTCAGGAGGAGACATTACTTACATTCCCAGCTATCTGTTTTCTCCACAGCCCTGACCTGCTCAATACAGACAATTTCTAAGTCCCCAGCTTCTCCCTCTCCTGAGGGCTTCAATAATACCTTTATCTTTTGCCAACACAGAAACATTTGCTATATCCTAAATTAGAAGCGTGAAGAAATAAACTGAATCCAGTCCTGAATTAAGCTGCCCAGACACCTCTGCTGAAGGGATTGCTAGATACTTTGTGACGACACTAAACCACCACCCCACACACTTCTCTCTAAAAACAACCGAGCTGCCAGCTGTGAAAGCCAGCACTCTGGTCCCAAAGTGCACTGTCAAAGAAGGAACAGGCTGCTCTCTCCCTCATAATAGCTGAAAGGATTCCAGATGTTTCACATCATCCTAAAATGGAAAGAATGAATATCTGTACACAGGTCACGGGAATGACACTCAAGTTTTGCTTCTCTCCCCCTCCCGCCATGCCGGCCTCACACACACACGCAGACAAGCCCTTCCTCGTATCTGGAACTATTAGAAGTTGCACTCAAACACAAATCAGAGAGCTGCTCTGATCATGAGCGGCTTGTGAACACTGTCATAAAATAAACTACTCCAGAACACGCATGACAAACATGAGCTGGAGTCAAAGGTGACGTTTTGTAGATATCCCATAGCTAGTTTTAGTAGGTCTGGCTAATTTGTGCCTCCTGAACCCTGTGATAAGACTTTAAGAGTCCACAAGGACAGCTGCAGATAAATCTCTCCATTTATCCTCTTTCCCACACCTCCTCCAGAGCCAGGGACCAAAAGAAAAAAAAGGAATTGTTCACACAACTGGATCCCTTCTCCCCCTGGATCCTAAGGATCTCCTGTTGAAGAGTTCTGGCTTGTACACAAATTTAGCCAAGAGCTGCCTGCTAGCAAAAAGACATAATCTAGATGCTACAGCGCCGGGTCGAGACAGACAAGCTGCTAGGAATTTGTAAGAGAGCAACAAAACTGTTTGGGGCCTAGAGGGATTGATTTACTAAGAAAGATTAAAAGAGCTAAATATGTAACATAGACAAGAGATACAACCAAGAAGGGTGGGGAGGAAGAATGGGACATGACAACAGTCTGCAAATATTTGAAGGCCGTAAACACTAAGGAGGGAGAGGAATTATTTAGGGTGCTGTAAGGGAGGGGAAGGAGGAGCAATGGGATTAATTTAATAAGGATTTTAACATAGGATTCAGCAGAAGGGAAAGCCAAAAAGCCATCCTCAGAGGTAGAGCCAATGGTTACTTTTGAAAAGATGCTGCCATTTTCCACTTAAAAACTCCTGGCCAGAAAAACAAGTCCGTACATTTCCTTCACTGCACCACAAGACCCTTCTTATAAGCATCAGGAGTACAAGGAGGAAAAAAGCAGGAAAAGGGACTAGTATCTGTCTTTTAAATTAGTGTTCAATCACTGGCCCTCAGTCAGCATGGAAACACTCAGGACACCCAAAAAAGGTAAGAGTGCTTCCTTCCCTCATTCCTTTCTCTTTCCCCTGCTTTTGTGAAGACTTTCCTCCAAATCCTCTGAAGCAGCTCACTTGTCCATTTCCCAGGGGAAATTTTTCCCTCTCCTAATCCATTTGCTGACACACAAATTTGGTGAGTCTTTCTGACTTTTGGCAGCATTACCATTTTGAATGAATGCTACCCCAGAAGTTGAACAGTGGAAACATGAATGAGTTCTCATCTCTACATTACCATGCGTGTTTAGGAAGATGATGATGATGCATCCATCTACTAGGCTGTCTGCAGGTGGGGAGTGTTATCTGTGGGCACATAAAGCTCGAAAAGGGAAAGCAGGGGTAGGCATCAAGAAGACTTAGATTCTTCAAAATGTGAACGTGCCACTTATATGTGCTCAGATGGCCCTCAGCCCCACACTCTCCATAGCCCAAACACAGGTGTTAGTCTCTTAAAAAAAACTTTAAAAAAAAAAAAAAGAGGAGACAACCCTGTGGCCTAGAAAAACAAAGGTGGAATCATAGCCTGGTTTGGGTTGGAAGGGTCATTTAGTTCCAACCCCCCTGCCATAAGCAGGGACACTTTTCATTAAACCAGACTGCTCAGAGCCCCATCCAAACTGGCACTGAACACTTCCAGGAAAGGGGCATCTACAACTTCTCTGGGCAACCTGTTCCACTGCAACACCACCCTCACAGTAAAGAATTTCTTCCTGGTATCTAATCTGAACCTGCTCTCTTTCAGTTTAAACCCACTCCCTCTTGTCTTGTCACTAAATGGTCTTGCAAAAAGTCTCTCCTCATCCTTCTTGTAGGGTCCCTTCAGGTACTGGAAGGACAAAATTAGGTCACCTTTAAGCCTTCTCTTCTCAGGCTGAACAATCCAAATTCTCTCAGCCTTTCCTCATAGGAGACATGCTCCATCCTTCTAACCATTTTCATAGTTCTTCTCTGGACCAATCAGACCTACTGAGGAGCTATTCTCTGACTGAACACTTTAGGCTTGCTCCATCCCCAAACCCCGCTGTGTCTACAGGTTGCTCCCTCTACCATTTCTTTGCTAGAGATCCACCCAGATCGAGACCACCACAAGTGAGGAGGGAATCCAAGGGCAGGAATCTCTCTGGTCCTTTGTTCCATGTTTTAACCACCATCTTTTCTTAAAGATACAAGTACAAAAGCAACAGTTCTCTGCTCTCTTTCTAGACTGGAAAGCACCGTGTTTCAGACAAATGCAGCAGAGTCTGCAAGCTTCAGCCACTTGAGAGACGTATGTAGGATCGGGGATAATTCCTAACATCCACCCCCAGTCTCGCTCCGCTGTGGGGGCTGCACAAATTCAACTCATTCATCATGAGCTCTTTGAAACGGGGCCCCGGGGACAGAGGATGTCACCGGCTGAACAGGATCTTTTCAGAGTGGAAGCCTGACTGCATGCTTGACACAATAAACACCGCCCTCCCTGTGCACAGTGGCAACAGGCCGGGGCCCCCACTCTCCCCACCACCCGCTCCCCTCTTGACAGCCTGTCGAGGGAAGAATGGAGGGCTGGGAACAGATGGAAGAAGGCAGATAGGGCGAGAGAGAGTTAACAGGCCAGGAAACAAAGGGAAGGCACTCCCCTCCCAGCAAGGGAGGAGCCTGCCACCAGGAACTGTCCCCAGCCAGCGCAGGTCCCAGCATGCTTTGTCTGCCCAGCTCCTCTTCACCACCAGTGTGCATCCCGGCCAGACGATTCCTACCAGGTCCAGCTACCCTGCCCTGCCTCTTGGCCAACACCTCTGACAAAGCACCTCCCTCCGACAGCCTAAAAGTATTGGCAATTCCTCCGCAAACTGATTTTGCTCTTCTGAATGAGCAATTTTAGAGGTAAATGGGTTAGCCAAGACCCCTCGGTAGCATGATCTCATTTCCCACCCTCCCAAATCAATGTAGGGAGAATATCCCCGCAGCACATCTATCCCCCAAAGTACGCATGGAAGGAAGGCATTGTGCTTTAAGCCTCAGCTGAGCAGTAACACAGTCCATCCTTTGTGTCTACCCATGTAGAAATCCAAGTTTCCCTCTGATAGAAAAAAAACAAAAACAAATCCCGAAGAGCACAGCACGCAGCACCCACTGGTTACAGAGCAGGTGAAGGTAGTAACATCCTGAAAGAGAGAAGCTGAGGATAAACCATACAGCCCCTGCTCATCCCCAGAGATAAACAAGGCATGTCTGTCCTTGCTCTGTCTCCGCACCATTATCGAGAGAGAGAACTGTGAGGTGAATTTAGTGCAGGAGAGAAGTCCTCGTGAATGAGTCCTTCTGTCTGCAGAGCAGGCTGTGAGAGTACAGCAGGAGCACAAGCGTCCTCCAGACGCACCATCAGAGAGTACATGCCCGATCCCTCCAGGCTGGGGAGTCACCCAGGCTCCAAGAAGTCTCGCTATCACTGCTTCAAAACATGCTGGCTTGCACCTCAATGAACATCATTGGCTTTGATACTGCATTCAAGTAACTTGGCTGAATCCCTCTGTGCTCACCACACTAGGGCACTGGGGCTTCCTTTGCCTCTCATGTTGTTTGGTTACAGGCAAGGCAGGCACAATCCCCTCACCAGAGCCTGTTTTCCACGCCTGCTCTGCACAGGTGGATGACCTGTTACGTGGTGCAAAGGAACACAGGATCAGGCCTTTCCATTCAGTACCTCTTTTCTTACCCCACGTGTACCCCCAGATGTTTTGCAAGATCCTGGCAATTTATGCTGCCCTACAGAGGGTCTGGAAGGCTTCAAGCACTACCATAGGTGGAAAATGCTGTGTCTGGGCTATCAGACACTAACTGGCTGGAGAGTCACAGAGGAGTGGCATACAGGAGTAGGCAGCAGGAAGGCAGCACACAGTGGAATTGGGATCCCAGATCCATTATTTATCATCTTTGTTCATGCTTTGGATAAAGGTGGCAACAAAGCCTGTTACTGATGATTCCCACAGGACACTTAATCAAGAGAGGCTGCCAACACCAATCAAGAGAGAATAATAAAGCAAGAGGGAACTGGAGGTAAAAGCCAGAGGTTGAAAACAGACGGTGATTTACAAGCACAGGAAAAAGTAATCTGAACCAGAGGTATTCAACAAAAGGGACTCAGGGAGGGATGGGAAGATGTTGGAGATCCTAGAAGACATCTTCTACAATATAGCTGACAGTCTGCTAAGGCCAATTCTGCAACCTGATAGTGTTGGTGATGGGGGAAGCCAAGGAGACCCAAAGAAGCCTATGCAGAGGCATCACATTACAGATCACTGGAGGGTAGTCCTTCATTGCCAGGCACTGGAAATGCCACACATCAAATGCAGTGTTGGCTCCAAGCTGCTCAGCAGATGGACAAACTAGGAAAAACTGAAGGAGCAGCAAAAGTGAGGAGTGGTGGATGTACTGGGAAGCAAAATACAATTCAACCAAGCAAACAGTCAAGGAGCACATGACACACCCGTAAGTCCCCAAAGTTTGCAGACACCAAGGGAGAGGGCAGTTGTTTTGCTGGCCTGCAGGACTACAACTAAAAAGGTAGTGGGGAGAACCAGATGACAGGTAAAGCCACATCAACTCTCATGGAGGGATCAGGCTACTGGGTAGTCTCGCCACTCTGGCCCCACATGGTTTGAGCCAATAAAAACATGAGCAGGCAAAGCATCAGGGAACATTAGCACACATCAGTACACTGGCTTGGAAGAACTTCTACCCAGGTAACCTGCTGCAGTAACAGGAAACCCAGTGCCTCATGGGCTCCGTCCACTGAGCTCCCAGCTCAGGTCATTCCAGACATTAACTCTAAATCCCATTACAGATCTAACAGATCTAAAGCCCAGGAGTTCAACCACACCAGGCTCTCCGACCTGTTTTACAGCTCCTGGTCTCTGACCTCTCTCTTAAAGGTCCAGATCACTTTTTCCACTACTAATCTTCCCAAAACTTTATTCCTTCTACCCCTGAAGGGACAGCTATGCCCTCCCTTTCCACCACCCACTCTTTACAGAGTTAATACCCACACACACCCAAGCTCAAGAAAAGGAAGTGAGAATGCTGGAGCAGCATATATGTCAAATATGTCCCAAACAGTCCAAATCTAAATCAGTCTAATCAACTACCACCATGTCTCCAGCATCTGCAAGGCAAAGCTGAGCTCATCCCACTTTCTTTGCCATCAGAAGACAGGCAGCAACTAGCAGTATTCCTTGAAGATCTTTTCTCCACCCCCTCCAACCTTACATGGTGCCCACAAATACCAACAGGCAAGAAAAACAACCCCGAAACAATGATGCAATTGAGAAAAACAACCTGGCAGGTAGAAGGACAGACTCTCACACTCACCTAGGTAAATGTCTCCAAATGAACCGCTGCCAATCTTTCTGCCCAGCCGGTATTTGTTCCCTACTCGAAGCTCCATGGTTCAGTCGTGCTGAGAAAAGAAGCACAGAAAGCACAGTGTCAGAGCAGAAACAGGAAGTGAATCATGTAACACTACAGAAGAGACCTCCCCACTTCACCCAGAGGCTGAGTACAGTTTCAAATCTTGAAATACATCACTTTCTACATGGCCTCCATCACCTCTCCTATCTCCTGAACATCCAGGGACAGCATGAGCTAGAAATGCTGCAGGAACACAACCCTCTCAAGCATGTTTTCCATGTTCCCATTATTAGAAAGAAGAATTCAATCTCTTCCCCATCATTTTGTTCAGAGACTGGGGAGGGGATCAGGAAATCTCCTCTAAGGTTTCAGTGGGTGATCATGCCACACCACTGTAAAGAGGTACTGCTCCTTGTACCCTACAGTACCTGGCACCAGGACAGAAGTAACCTCATGAGACACCAAAAAGGACAGGCATAATAAACCCTATGAGAAGAAGTTGCTCTCTGGCCCAGCCCTAGTCCAACCACCACTCAGTGGTGGTGAAGCATAGGACTCAAGAGCTGCAAGAGACAGACAGACTGTATCACTCGTAGGCAGAGGCTGGCACAAGGGACAGGGAGGAGACATCTTGCTGAACTGAACCCTTCGAGGCACTGACTAGGAACAGCACTTGCTTATCTGCACAGGCTTCTGCTGATGGGATCACAGCCTCCTTTGGTCTACGTGAGCCTTTCCATCTCTGCTGCCTACCTAGGTGTGTTGGCTGTTTGTTTTTAGCAGCTCGGGCCTTTCCTCATCCCTTTACCTGAGGTGATTAGCTAACCCTTTGACCTGATATACCCCATCAACATGCCCAGGCTTAGCCTCCTCACCTTCCACAGAAAACCAACTAGGTGGAAGGACCACAGCCAGAGATTGTTCTCCCTGCCAATCTCAACTTCTGCTGCTAAACACCTCTGCCAAACACAGTTCCAGCAGTTCACCCTTAGCAGACCACTTTCCCTCGCCCCTTCTTATGGCCACCAACTTATTCCAGGAACCACATCTCTTCCTAAGACAGCCAGTGCGTCTTCTTTTAGAGGGATTTGCCACAGTCCTAATTTATGCAATGCCACATTATTAGCATACAAAATGCAGACACAGAGCCTGTTGGGGACAGGAAAGGTGAGGAATGATTCATGTTTTCACAAGTGGGTGAGAGGAACTTTCCCTTGCTGGAGCTTGGTGGGAAGGAAGCATCACTGAAGGAAAGAAGGGAGGAACGGCCTTGTGAGACAGAAGTACAAAAAAAAATAATCCCAGCTACAGGATTCTGGGCATACTATAAACCCAGAGCTGCTTCTCCTGCCCCAGGAGATGGGATTACAGAAAGAAGAATGGATGGACTGTAGAGATGTACAGGGAAATAATCCTATCAAGGCATTCAGGGGACATTGTGAACCCTGAAAGCAGAGCTCCAGTCATCAGAAACCACACACAAAACACTTAGAGGTGGAGTCTCCTCACCTAGTATTTACTTATGCATGTGGGTTTCTGTGCATCTAAAGTCTACAAAACCCTGTGGCTATTTCTGACTTTCTTACTACAAGGAATGTAGGCAGAGCCTTGGGAACCAAACCAGGAGGCAGGCAGACCTGGGCGAGGGCACAGCAAACAGACATGATTTTTATCCGCTGCCTGCTGTTCTGTATAACCACATTAACATACATCTGACTTGCTTACACTCCTACTCCAATAAACGATCAAAGGTCTGTGTCCCCGGGAACCTGTCACACCACTGTCAAGAAGACAGCTCTCGAACCTCCTTCCTTCATGGTGTGTTTACCCAGGCCTGTGAACCCTGAACACTTCCACTTGAGTCCAACTCCCAGCTGGGGCGAGCACAACCGAGCACACGGCAGAGACTGGGCAATAGGTCTCTGCGGGGTCTCCTCTGCACCAGGGCACAGTGGATACTGCTCTGCAACACCACAGCCCCAAGCCTAAATTCAGTCCCACCCTTCTGGGACAGACAGGAGCCAGGTTAAGAAGAGTTTCTCACACATGGAGGCAGCAGCCCTTCTAGCTGATTAAGCAACAGGCTCCAAAGGGGAATCTAAAAAATGCTCTGGGGCGCGGGGGTGGAAGCGGGAAGCAGGATAATGGAGTAAAAAAATCATGGTCTCGCACAGCTGTCATTTTGCCTTATCTCCCCCCCCCAGCACACACACACAAGTGTGCGTAGAAAACCTGGGTGGAGGATAGCCAGGGAGCAACAGCCTGGATTCGTGGTCATGGGGCAGGACACACATCCCACCCCCTCAACAGCTGCTCCAGGAGTTCAAACACCTATCATATTTGCTTCTACTTCACACACGCACCCCCACCATCTACAGCTTCCACTCCTATAATCTGATCTTCAGGTCTACTGTCATAAAGAAAATTTTACATATAAAATATATATTCTTATATGTGACATTTATATTACTCCCTATATATTATTTATATGTGCAAAATCTAAGACATCCCCCCTACCCACCCCCCAGCAGGCTTAACCCCCCCAGCCCTGCCACCCTTCCTGCACTCTACAGCCAAGGCAGCATTCCCAGGGGCTGCAAGGCAATCATTTAGTTAAACCATTTAGTTTTCCATAAGGGATTAACACACATACAACCTCAAAGCGAGTGTGTGCTCTGCATGAGCGTTTGCATACGTGAATATCCAATACTACACAGCCTCAGAAAAATAATAATACTATCCAGCCGTCAGCGGTGCTTACACACACACACACCATTTTGCACCAGCCCCTTTTATATAATATAAAATACCACGTACAGGCACAAAGGCCATTATATAAACACAACGATAAGAGTTGATACACACTGCTGTGCCAGATACGATGGCGACCAAAGATGCA